TACAGTTGTCTATCGCGTGGTTATTTGTAATTTTTCGCGAGCACGCGTTGTGCTACACTCCAACAGTATAAATTCTATAAATTCCTACCGGTATATTTTCGAATGTATATTATCATTTATAGTATGCACTTGAATATAGGTAGAACTATCGAGAAAAGTCCGGTTAAAAAAGTTTCCCGCTTGTGACGTGTCGGGCGATGCATAGCGCACAGCCAACAAGATAAAAAGTTGGCTATCGAGAGACAGCTTAAATATTCGAGAAGTTTTTGGCTCTAAAACGAATTCGCGTTTTACTATTTTCGCAACCAAAAAAACTGGAATTGATATGTCAAAGAGGATCAGAGCTCAACGTTCCACATAGTCAGCAAATATGAGTTCTCGTGCAAGAAAATTAGAATTCGATATAATCATGCAAAAATGAACGAATATGGAACATGACATAGATAAATATCGTTAAAGAGAAGTTAGTAATGAGCAGCTTGCCAAATTCCGTTCTTCAAGTTCTTCTTATCAAGCATTTTATGAATATAAAGTTGTTGAAAAGAATTTTAATTAATTAGCTATCAAAATTAATTAATTAGCGTATAGATAATTTTGTTACGTTATATTATTCATTAAAAGACATTGTTAAATATTCAGAAAGTAAAAATAATCTCTCAATTAATAACTTTACTCATATCTTAGCACTTAAGTTTATAACATTTATTTTAAAAATGTAATATAAAACATTGTATTAAAAGAAAATTAGAATATGTCAAGATATTATATTAAGTCCAAATATATTACATTGTTACTTTGTATTTGTTTTAAGGATAAACGTAATTTAAAACCGCAAAAACTTTTTACTATTTCTATTATTTCGCTATGACTTTATAAATGACAGTAATACCATAAAATGTCATGAATGTTAAACATCTCTCGAAATAAAATTATTCAGTTTACTTGCAAATGTCACACAACTAAATTTGTAGGGGATAAAATTCTATCGTTAACTTAAAAAGTAAAAGAATGACATTTAAAGCGAGAGCAATTCGACTTTTCTACGAAAGGAGCGTCTAGACAGCATAATGTTTCTTGATTTATACTTTGCATCTCTGTAATTATAATACTTGCTATTAGAATAAAGCCGAGAACTACTACTTCTAATCTCAATGTGACCCGAGGTCACGAAGGTCGATACAAGTTTAGTTTCAATGGCGCCAGCACATATTGGGATCAACTCCCAAAAATCATGCCAAAACTGGTTTATACTAGATTTCGTCTAGCAAACTTGCTCGAATATGTATATGCCATTTAAAATTTAGATTGCTTAATTAAGATACGAATCATATCTCTACAGCCACGATACTTGATCTCAAATAACAAGAAGTATTACGTCGCGAAGGCCAATTGCCAATGTTCTAATGACAAAAGCACATAAATTCTGTCAATGTAAAATTATACACGACGTCTCGAAAAAGAAAAACAATATTTTAAAGCTTTCTTCATTTAATATTCACTATTCAATCTTTAAAAGCGAGATTATTTTCCACGCTCATCTGACATTTTTGCATAAAAATTAAAAATTTAATCTATTGATGAATTGTACCGTAAAGAAACAATATTTCATTTTTCAACAATTTTAATATATCATACAAACTGCTTGACCTGATTCTATTTCACAAAACAACTTTGTAGTTTTTATCTTTTTTTCTTTGTACTTTTTCTTTACATAATACTGTTTTGCATTTCGACTTGTAAATGAAAATTAAAAAGTGTAAACTGAAAAAGTGAAAATAATCAATATTAACTTGGTCAACAAAATCTTCATTGTAAGAAAAATACTTCAAAAATGAAAATATACCGTTTTCTTTACAAATTGTTTCTCATTTAAAGGTTAATAAATTTTCCTGACAATATTATAGCACGGTCTAAATCCTCTCAGAGTCGTGAATAATGTAAAATGTTACAAGCTCGCTGACCAGCAAGAAACTTGTACACAATATTTAACCACGTTAATTTTAGCTGAGTAGTAATGATCAGCATGTTGTCAGACAGTAACTGATTGTTAATTAATTATAAAACGCATCTTAACACAGTAATTATTAATATTAAACAACTTGTAGAAATTTCATTTAGATTAACTAAAACTAATGTTAACTTTATATTAATAATTCAAAAAAATTAAAAATTAAAATTAACTTTATCTAAATATAAGAAACATATATTATTTAAAACTTGTTTATTAGTACTATTAAGAAAATTTTCAAAGTTTAGAAATTTTTCTTGTTTAATGATACAAAAGAATTGATATCAGTAATATCAACTTTAGAGATATAATGATATATTTTTCTCGTTAACCAAACAAAGATTTTTAATATAATCTGTTGCGCTTCTCGGCGAAAAACGCAATTAATGGATAAAATCGATAAGTTCAGAAAGAAAAATCGAGAATTCCCAATTGAGATTTATTGCAATATGTGTGATTTCGGATTGCATAATCGAATCGATAGACAACGTCTACAGTCTTATTTATCATAGGAGAATATTAAAATCGTTTCGCCAATGTTCTTGTCATCAATAAACCATACTATCGATGGCGGCTTGTTGTCGGCCGTGATTGAAATCCGAGATCGGCAATATAGTGAAATTCCTATTATTCACAGTCGGAATTGAAGGGCTGGGCGGAATAAAGACATAATTCTACTTAGGCCTTTTTTCCGGCAATTAGCTTTTTCATGTAACATTAATCATAATACAGAAGTATATAACATGTAACTTCTTAAAGATATTATTATACATAAATTCATTTAATATTGTATTCATTTGTATATTATAATAAAAAAGTAACAAGTTATTTTAATTTGTATTAATATCAAGATTTTGTAATTAAGCCTTTATTCCACCCATCCCCTCAATTGTAATTACAATCTGAACTTTGTCGACTCGATCTCGCATGATCGGCTGCAGTCTGTCGTCTGACTTGGCCTCCACGAGTAGGCTAAATTTCTGCAAGGGCACGACATCGATAACTCTGCGTCACCGCAAAATGCGGAACAAGCACGATCTAATTTTTTTTCATGGCAAATGGAAAAACCAACAATCGAGTCTTGCATTGCTTCTTCGACGTAGCTGTCAAAATTACCCTAAGTAACCACACGATCATAAATTGGGACTCGTTCTCTCGATTTATACTCCTGGTAGAACGGAGGATTCTCTTCCCGCTTGACTATAAAATTTGAATAAAGCCATTCGTAAATTGTGCATTGCCTTCCCTCTCGACTTAACGCATTCAACTGAAAGCAGGGGCAAGGATGTAAGAAGAAGAACAGCCAACCAGAGGATGGCTACCTATTTAGTTCAAGGAGCAAATGTATTCGAGTGTTGAGCGTTCCGAAAGATTATAAGTTCCAAGATAGAACCGAAGACAAGAAAGAGCCCACCGGACTGGTCACGATGGCGACGGAAGTGCACTTTCAGGGTGAAACACGCACTGCGTAGAAGCCACCCCTCTACTTCGGGACCGTTGCCGTGTCTGGTTCCACGAACGAAATCTGGGTCACCGGCCACGTACACTCGTACTCTCGTGCGAGCTCGAGGCTAGGAATCTCGTGTGCGCGCACGCGCGTGTACACGTGTAAGTGGCCGCGAATCTACGTGTATACACGTTTCGCCACTAGTTCTCACCCCGTAGAATGTCCGGGATGCGCGACGTCAATCCTCATGCGTCCGAGTAGGGCACCATGGCGCGTGGTACGAACGGGGACGGATGAGTCTTCGATATCGAAATTCCTGCCACGCTACCGTGAAATCAGGATCAAGAGAGAAAGGGAGAGAAAGAGAGAACTTTCGAATTAGATTTAAACGACAGTTTAATACCGACCCGAATTTTCGTTAATAGCGTCTCGTGACTGGCACAAATCTGCACGGAACAGTTTTAATCAGTATATCCCTCTGTCTCGTCTTTTTCTCCTCTACCCTCTCAATCATCACTCTTATCGGATTTTCTTTAAAATCAGTTTTGTACTTTCTTCGGCGTATGACCTATTTAGCCGAATTGTATTTCATTTTCTGGAAATCCGATTACAAATATAATTTAATAGTATCGCAGCGGAAGAATTTTATCGAGTCTGATAAATGTCTTACTGCGAGCAGACTTTAAATAGGGAATTTTTGTATAAATCAAAAAATTTCTCTGTTACCGTATTAGTTATAGGTGTGAGATTAAAATAATTCATGAATGTACATTGTTGTATTAAATTGTCAAACAAGTTCAACATAAATCATTGATATTATTTTATATTGAATAGAATAGTTTCAGAATTTTATGTTTAATGAATATTATTCAAATAATTTGAGAAGAATATAATACACAACTTTGGAAATAAAAGATTTCATAATATATTTATCAACACGAAAAGTCGTACTTGATTTACTATTGTTGTGATTTTACTATTGTTATTTGTCCTTGAGATGTGCAAGAGAAATTGAAACATTGTTATTATATTTAAAAATTAATTTGAAATTCTTTATATTTCACAATTGATACAGATTATTGCTTTCTTAATACTATTTTTTTACAGATAAATTTCCTTCTGAAATTTAACAATATCATAGAAATGTTTTTTTTATACTATTCTTCTTTAATATAAATTAAAGTTAAATAGATAAATTTTGAAATTAAAATAAAGATATAATGTAGATAGTAAAATAATAAATAGAGAAAAATAATTGTAAAAATAAGTTAAATTAAAAAAATCAATTTCTCTTTTAACAAATTATTTTTAATTGTTTTGCAAACATTTATTGAACATTCTAATAATCAAATCAAATCGATTCATAGAAAAAAACGCACGTAAAGAATATAATATAGATCACGTTAGAAATCACTATACAAATATTATTAATGGTATATATGCTTCTATACTGGGATTATATTTCTGATTATCAGTACACAATGATCAAACAGTCCTGACAGGCCGGGACACAATAATTACAAAAAAGAAAATAGAAAATCTCACCAGGATACGTCCAGTGGTGGTTTGTCCGGAAATCAGCTCGCCGGCCCAGTCCTTGGCCTCGGTCATAAAAGTCCCCTCGAACTCCTTGCCCTGGCGGGCCGACTTCTGCTCCTTTTGCTTCGGGTCATTTGGGGAGAGCTCGGGCTCCTTGCGACAGCAGAGGAAGGCGAACGCACGCCAGAGGAGCACGATCAGTAGCCCGGCGAGGAAGGTGAAGATGCTTGACAGCAGGAAGCACCACCATTTCCGCTCCTTGAGGCAGCCTTCTACCGTCACCGGGGGCTGCACGGTCGTCCCTTCGGTCGTCATCCCGGCGGATCTCTGCTGCCCCCGGGTCACACATTCACCGGCGACTATCACAATCACAAACGGCAGCTGCGGCGGCCAGTAGGACGCACTTTATACGCTTCATAATTTCGCGCCGCCTCCGGGAGATGCGCGATACGCGCTAAGAAGAATCCGTGCACGGCTTGCTTTCGCGTTCTCACGATACGCAGCTACCACAAGCTTCTTCTTTCTCTTTTCTTCTTTTATGAGCGTGCGCTCTGTTTAAAGAAAAAAATTCGAATCTCTTCCTCTCTTCTTCCTTTATACTCTTCTGCCACGCACAATCTGACACCTAGACTCTTCGTCTTCCACTCTTATCCTCTCAACCCCCCCTCTCTCTCTTTCTTTCTCTTCTTCCACCTCTCGCACTCTTCCTTTCTCTCCCCCCCTCTCTCTCTCTCTCTCCTTCTGTCTCTCTCTCTCTCTCTCTCTCTCTCTCTCTCTCTCTCTCTCCACTCTTTTACTATCGTTTCTTCAATTCTAACTATAAGATATACGTCTGTATTTGTTTGCTCCGAAAAAATGCCTTCTATCTTGTTCACAAAGGCCTTTTCTTCAAGAATCACTCAATCACCATCGTTGATTCTAACTGACGCACTACTGTTCGCGACTGACGATTCGCTATATAGCCTCGTTAGAAGTCTACTTCGAGGCGAATGTACACGTCGAATGTACACGTCTCTGCTGGACACACGAGAATCACCGAGTACGGCGTCCTTAGTAAAAGCACTCCGCTTTCTTATCCACGTAGCTATCACGGTACGCGCAGTAACCAGTCGTGGATACCTGATCCTGATGGCTCGAGGACTTGCCGCTCCCGCCGCCGTCACCGATGCCGCAGGTGTGTATCGCTTCTAATTGGAGTCCGTGATTGAATGGCTGGAGCAATATAGAGAACAGGCAGGAGATACAACTCACTGAACACTGTATTATCGCGTGACACACATATACGCGCGCTCGTACGAATACATAACGCAAAGACGAGTTCTTTCCGTTATCACCGTATTTATACAGCTCTCTTTGTATACCTATTTATGTATACATATATTTATACATATACAATTATACTCTTTTTATTTTTTTTACAGTATAAGTGCGTACGTGTACAGTGCGGACGTAGCAAGCGCGAATCGCGATCGCGAACGGAACGCGAACGGACGATGCGTGACGACGACGCGGACGACGACGTTTTATTTTTCCTCCTTTCTCTTCTCTTTTTTCTCTACCTCTTATATCTATGACCGCGCGCGCCCGCTTCTCTTAACCTAATCGGCTGAGCACCACCGACGGCGACGACGACGACGACGACGACGACGAGGACGACCGAGTGTCCCGACGACCATACCACTGCTCCACAGCAATCAATACGCAACAATGGACCAGGACCAATAAGCTCGGAGCTTTTCCTGACGTAGACGCACGCTCTCTCGCTCTCAGCCTATCCCCTACCACCCCACGCGGTCAAACTGGTACGGCCGCAATACCTGCGGGGGCGCCGCGCGCGGCTGCGCCAAAACGAGCACGACTACTTACAGGCGCAATGGGGGTTGCTTGCATGGAACACAAGGATGCGCGCGATTATTTAATCGAAAGCGTGCTGTCTACGTTTTTATAAAGAACAACATTTTTTTTTAATCCTGCCATCTTATCCTTTTTTAAAAACATTACTGCTACGAGAAGTAAATATGTTTTTTATAAGAACAAAATTAGAAAATACATCTTAAACAAATAAATACTATATAGATCACATTTTTATATACACTTTTATATACATTTAAATAAAATATATAATTTTTTAGTGTTAACAACGCAGTTTTATATTTATTTATAAATTTTCTTTTAGCAATTTGAGAATATTATAATATATAATATTCTATATAACAGTTATACTACTCAAGATAACTTCTCTTATTAAAATCTTAATTTCAATGTATAAATGCATAACTTATATTTATTAGAATTATAAATTACATCTCTTGCTATAATTATGTAGAGATTGTTATTTTTTTACATTAAACAGATTTGACACCATTAAAAAAGAGATTTCTTTATCATAATCCGTGATTTCAAACTCTTTCTTTAGATTTGATTTTATTTCTCAATTTTTATAAGTATCTGTTAATACATTTACATATCAGATGTATATGACTTAATATATAAAAATTAACTTTGCAATATTAAACAATTATATGAAAACTAAAATTCATTTTTTTAATTTAAAATTACTAAAAATTAATCTTCAGCTGGAACAGCGAATTTTGAATCAAACATTTAGCAGTGGCGTTATCTGTCTGAAGCAGACAAGTATAATAATAGAGTTAAGTTCCGATAACAACGGCAACTGCTCCACATGGTAAATTAATACTACAATTAAAATGCATAAAATATATTGGATAATTAGTTATTGGGTATAGAAGTAGCTGTATTCATATAAATTACTTATTTAAAAATATAGATAATAACGTTAATAAATAAACAATTATATAAGAATACTATTTCTTTTAAATAAACAGTATAAAAATTTGTGACTATAAAAAAATTATAAAAAATTTGAATAAAAAATTTTAATTTGAGTAAAATTATACTGTAATTTTTATCTTTATTGATTTTTTTTGTGTTGAATAAATTTGCAACTATGATTTTAACAACAGATGCTTAAAGACCGACAATTTTATGAAAATTTGTGTGATGCTAAAATCAAGTTAATTCGTAACAGAATAAGTTCAGATATCAGCAGTCGAGAATTATATATCAATAATCGATAATGTTAATATTTTTTTATTACTGCTGGATTTCTGAAATTTTTATTAAGAGCTACAATAGATTATGAAAATCTAGAACCGTATACATTTAATATTATTTTGTCGATGAAACTTAATCAATAATTTTCGGCTATAAAATTATTGTAGTTAAAACTTTTTACAATATATATTTAAATATACAATGCTCATCTTAATTTTAATAAATATCCTATTATAAATATTATGTTTGTGATCTAACGCATTTAGTTATAATTCTAATCGAAAATATAACATCATTAAACGTCAATAACGTTGCTGATTTATATCAGCTATAAAATTTGTTTTCTATTAAATTTAATTTTTTGTATGCTAAAATGGAGACAAGTTTTATGCTTGTTTTAAACTTGTTTGCCAATTGAATATTAATTTTTAATATTTTTTAATCATATATATATGCTACAAGTAATTAAGTTTCGCTTTAAAGAAACATGTTGCCAACGAACGGTAGAACTGCAACAATAGTTCGAGACATCAAGAGGTAAATCCATTCAAAAACAAAATGATATTCGCATGCGTAACATATATCATTGACTACGTGACTAATCTTGATAAACTCGTGCTCTGATTTTATCCTGAGTATACTCGAGACCCCATAAATTATTTTTTATCACTTGTATATTAAATATACTTGTATACTAAATATTATATTAAACATAAACATTTATAGCTAATAATTTATAGCTAATATTAAGATGTGTAGTTTAAAATATTCAAGATACTTATGAAATCAATATTTAAAAGACATTTATTATAATTTACATAATTTTATATTTATTATAATAACGAAAAGATTTTCTGCAACAAAGATTTTCTCTTATTATTCTAATATTCCTGATAAATCGGCTGTAAATGTGACGGTTTATTAATGGATTTAATTTTTTTATTTATAAATGGTGTGTTTATATGATTTCTTATAATCATTTTTTCCATAAGAGTTTTAACATTCCTTATTTCCTTATTACATAATATATATATGACTGAGGTTTTATATCGTCTGCTATCGCTTGTTTTATTGCGCATGTGAGAACATCCCTCTATATATATATCCCTCCCCCAATACTGGTCAAGACAGAGTAGGTTATACATCATTATTGATCATAGACATAATATTATTTATTGTACAACAGAAAGCCACGAAAATAAATAATATATGTGCAGGCTAGTCACAGTATATTTTTTATAGGTAAGTACTTATTATTATTAAATTTATTTGTATAGAACAGTACAATTGCATTTAGAATACATCAATTTTGAAATATAACCTGTATTTCATGATTCTAAAAATTATTAAATAAATTATTTTGTTTTATTATAAATTTATAATCACATTTAAAATTATTGCAAATTAATAATTTTGCATAAAAAGTCGATATAATAAAAGACGTGTATAATAATAAAATCTAATTAATATTATTGAAATAAATATATAGAATATATGAGGAAATAAAGTATTTTATGTATACATATGTATATTATAAAACAATTTAAATATACAAATATCTTGATGTACAAAGTCTGTACCAAAAGTATGTATTTAATGAAATATAAAAAGAATGATTAAAAAATTACTTATCTTACAATATAATATTTTTGAATGTAAGATATTTGTATTTTGCTTAAATACCCTTTCAAATTTATATTATGACCCTATGATTTTATTTTTCTTTTCAGATTGTTTCAGATGAATATGCAGGAATGTATTTACATAGTTTAGTTTAGGATCGAAGGAACGACATACAATAAAATTAAAAAAAGATTTATATAACAAAATTTTACAAAACGAACCTATATATTTAAAGAAATTTAAAAAGACTGGATCTGTACATAAAAATACAAAATGGGCAAAATCTAAAAATATCTCATAAAAGGATTCATCAATGTACTCGAAGTGCTAATGATTATCGATTCGAGAGAAATACATTTCATTAAATATTTTATATGTTATGTATAGAAAATAATAAATAAGGTTCTAGATTATATGTGATAAGTATTTGCTTTTTATATTTGTATTTTGTATAATTATAATTATATAATAAAAATATTACAACATTTTTATTTGAATTTATTTCATAACAAATAGAAATATAATAACATCTGGAACGTCCTGTATATAGAATGTAACTATATAGTCGAAAGTTATGTATAAACCTTAAGAATAAGTTCTATGTAACAAAATAAAAAAAGATACATAAACAATAGAAATCCTAAAGAGTTTTGTTACAAAAAGTTTTGTGGATAAATTATTTAAAAATATTATTTAAAAATAAAAAGCAACATAATTTTTTTATTATTAACGCCATACTATTCATTAATCATAATTTCAATCTTTAAAAGGTAGCAATTAAAATCTTTTTCTATTACTTATATAACTTACTATTTTTACTTTTTATAATTTTACATAAAATTTGAATATTTTATATATTTTCCCTGTATATAAGACATATAATCTTATATAATATACATATGTATATTTGTTATATTTATACCTATATAGATTATACTTCTGCTCACTGTAGTTTTGAATTGCTCTTGCTAATCCTAATAATATATTTCCAAATTGAGCTTAATAATATAATATGAACTATTAATAATTAATCAATTTTATTTATTTAACAGTAACACATAAATACATTAAAATAACATTTTTCTATATTAAAATAAATTTAACAAATGTATTATTTCTTTATGACGAGGTCATGGGTAAAAATGTATTCATCATATGTAGAGGAGTAAAAGATATCACTATAGTTAATCAATCAAACATTAAAAGAGGATACAAAAGATTATATTAAGAAAGCTGTCAGATATATTATCTGAAGAAAGATTAACGAAATTTACTAGGATGATAAAAACATTATAATGGTAATGAATCGTGATGAATGATGTTTGTGTCATCATCATTGCCATAACGAATTTCGCGCTTTTTCAGAAAATCTAATGATCCATAATCTATTTATAAACCTTATGATAAATGACTTCGCATATGCTGGAATAGCTGTGAAAAATGAGAAGAATATATACACGTTCTAGTATATTGAATTAACGGATGCTGTTGTGGAGCGATATAAAGAAAAAAATAAAATGTCATTTTGCAATTGCTGGAAAGGGCGATAAAATTGTTCAAATGTGAATGTTATCTTATCTATCATTGTCATAATGTGACATGTATGATGTAATTTATAGGAACATCTCAATATATGATTATACGGTCCTCATGAAGGAGAACTTGTACGAAGTCAACTTTGATCGCATTGAACAAATTTACCGGATGAACTGCAAGATATTTACTTCACCGATTGTTCTGGAACTCGGAGGACAGCGGATATCACTTCATCACAGTTGAGAATTCTGCGAATGAAAGACAGTACGCTTAGTTGCTCTTGTGGTAATTTTAGTTTGGTCATTAAACACCGAGTACTTTAATACGCATAGTCATGACAGTTAGGTCAAGTAAACGAAGCCAAGCAAAGCCGCATTCTGCCGTAAAGACCATAATACCCAAATATTTACAGAACCGTCTGTTAAATGTCTCATTACACTCGGTTGTTATATCGATATAGATCTTCAACATAGTTTAGATATTATATTTTAGGTATTATATATAAAGATAAGGAAACACCGAGAGGAATATTGCAAATTAACAAACTTTGAAAAATGTCAAATAATATAATCTTTTATTGCAGCTCATGACAGCACAGAGCTATCTAGTAATTCAATCCAACCTGCTCCAACCTGCTGCGGCCAGCCATCTATTTGGATCACAACGAGTTAAGGAATAAAACTGAACAAATTTTATACGCATTTTACAAACTTATAGATAGTCCGATTGTTTTGAAATTAAAACTGCTCAAATATCACAGGTACGTGCTTTTGCTTTTTATTTAACGATAAAAGTTTTCATTTATTTAACGATATGGTTTTCATAAAACTTTAGATGTTCTCAGAATTTTTCAGTGGATTTTTCTTTCCAAATTCATACAACAGAAAAGTAAAGAACAGATTGAAATCCTGAATATTTGAAATCCATAGAAGTTTTCATAATATTGATGAGAAGCTTTCGAAATCATAAAACTTCTATTCGTCACATTTTTTTATATTTTCATATTTCTCATTATTTCGGTGTTGGAGAAATGTAAAGATGGATTTTTTTCAAGAGATTGTTCTTAAAATCGAATATCAATAGTTACAAAAAATTGTTTCTTTATTAGATCCAACTACTTTATATTATATATATTTTTTTATTTTACACTTGCCAAACTTTTATCAGTCACTGTAACATCATAAATCAGTCGCATTTGTATTCACAAACGTGAATAAATTTATAACGTATCGCATCCAAATAAGTAAATGTATTGATACATTCGGCGTGATATACAACAGCAACGGCGCGATAATCCAACGTTTTTGCTGCATTGCAAGCATTTATCTTCATTCTGAATAAAGTGTTGCAAATGTACAAGAGAAAGAGATAAAAACATCTTTTTTCTTTCCTCTTTTCTTTTTCTTTTTTTTTCTATTTTTTACTTTACTTCTTACTTTAGCTTATACTTTCCACTCTAACTTTTTTTCTTTTATTAAGGAGAATAGTTTGCGAAACATCAAATACCGTAAATGCCAGCCACTTGAAATGACTGAACGGCGAACATGGAACGCGCATGGTTGGATTTCTATTTTCGGCTGCGCACGCGGAGTCGATTAAGGCTGATGACGGCGCGTTTGTAATCTTCAACGAGTTTGATCGTTTCCGGACACAGCGCTGACTTTAATCGCGTATCCAGTATCCGGCGGTTGATTATCACCGTTACCTTGTTCTTCCGTTCGAGAAATCGTATAACAGCGCCATACATATATGGCCTGCTCCTTTTCCATTTTCCGACTTCCGAGTAAAAATAGATGAAGCGCATAGGGAGTTAGTCTCAGCAATCGTTGTTTCTGCAACTCCGCCGTACCATTGAAGCCTTTATTAGAACATTGTAAGATTAAAGTAAAAATCACTATTTTCTGTTCAGGTATTAATGCTCAGTATTATGTATGTTTACGGCATTATAGTTGTTTATTGTATTTGCTATATAATTGTATCACTTATTTAATTTATCGCATTATAATAAGTGAAGCATAATTAAAGAAGAATTGATACAGTATTCACAATTTCGACATTGGACTTTTTAAACAATAAATTATTATATTATAGTTAAAATGTACTAATATGAGAGAACCTTTCTTTAAACTTTCATGCCAGAAATAGTTCTGTACACTGTATATATTTTTTGATTAAGTGAAATATGAACATGCCGCATTGCAGCCAGTTTGCCCCGATAGTGAAATAAATTGATTAATCACGGTGTAAGTTGCCTATATGACAAACTTCATATTAAATTAATAAAAATTTAATAGAAATAAAAAATAGATCACAAATACTTGTTAGTAGAAATTATATTTTTTCACATACAAGTTATTTCGTAATCGAATAGCAAAATGTTGTTATAAAGAAAAACAAATGTAAGCTATTTTAGTTTTAATTTATTTAAATATAAAAATATTATAAATATGTTTATGGCAAAATTTACCAATAAATTTCTCATGATTTCTTTTACCATAAATACATGAACGTCAATTCTTTTGTGTTAACGAGCCTGTTTCTTCTATTGCTATGAGATATATCTTATTTCTTTTAAAGCTCATAATAGTAATAAATCTATATCATCGAGAATGTCTTGGAAATATAATTGTAGCGAAAGCCAAAACGTATATCAATTTTTTACATACCATTATTATGTTATAAAATAATTAATTTTGTACATAGATGTGTGTGTATGAAATTCAATTATTAAAAACATAAACAAATAATTTTCAGAATTTAACAGCAATGTAAGCTGCATATCTTTTCGAAAGAGAAAAAGTTAACTGTGGTCATATCTATTTTTGCGGGACATTTCTATTTTTGATACATTATTTCTGACAAGAATTTCTTTTAGCGCACAAGCTTGGAAAATATTAGAAAATATTTTCTGCAGATTGTTGTTCACGAAACGCTGAGTTTATGATACTATGTAAAATAAAATCGTCGCGATTTCTTATCGCCTTTTTGTCGAGCGAAATCCTTCGACAATATATCATCGAATAGTCATCCATCAAATACACCCCCATGCTATCGATGTTCCCTTCTTTTTTTCTTTTACTTTCATACGTATTCCGAAAAAAGAAACTTCTTTTCCGGTGAACTTGTTTTCCTCTTGATTATCTTTCAGGTTTCATGACAAGGAATAACTTACGCAGATCAAGCGATGGCCCCGGGGCCATCAATTAGTCTGGGTATCAATAGGGGTGCGAAGTTCAAAAAGAGATAGCACATCTTTCGCACAAATAATAGCGAGAAAAAGTTACAAGTATCACTTGGTCGGTGCCGAAAGTGAAAGTAAGGATCTCAAGGACTTGGCCGGATCCTCTACAGTCACCTCATCCCCCAATTTCTCTCGCTTTCCCTCCGTTTTGCCCGTGTCGAGTATCAACTGTGAAGGTGCTTCTCGGTCGACCGAGAGATGAGGGAGGAAGTCGAGAAAGAGCAAAAGGAAGAGAAAGAGAAGAGGCGGGAAAGAGGAGGAAGATCTCCGGATTTTCTCTGGGGGAGGATGTATGTTGGAGGTCGCGAGACGCGAATGAGGCGAGGGACACGCAACATACCGGGGGTCGCGCATGCGTCCGCACCATCATCGGGTAGAGGATGTTCGACGTTTTTTTCAGTCACCGGTCGACGCTGCGCCGGGCACCGTCGTCGTCGTGAACACGGCCGCGATCGCGCGGTGTTCAGCTGCTGGCTACCACCACCGCACCATACGTCCGCGCTCGACGTTCGCCTTGCGGACAATAGTCCGCGCTAGTGCCCTCGTGTCCGCGCGACCGACGTCGCGGTCGATAGAACCCGCACCTAACGCGAGAGGGTACAACCAGGTGGAGGATACCCGGAAGAAGAGGAGGAAGCGAAAGAGATGGTGGTGGTGGTGCAGTGAATTAGCTCTCGGCCACGCGCTTCACGTGCTCCTCTTCCAAGACTTGAAATCGTACCATCAAAAATTGTCTCTTTTTCAAGAAGAATTTTGCATATTTCCTACATTACGTGATCTCGTGGTGGGAATCACGGAACCACATCCTTCAGGGACATCGTGATACCGGGGCAAGGTTACTGCGCGCTCGCCACGTCCAGGTCAGGTGAGAAGCGCAGGTGAGAGGAATCACCGGGCAGGCGCGTCGAGAGGTGCAACTGCACACCTGGATTCGCCATCTCTCCGGCTCCGGCATAAGATGCGATCGGCGGGCACTCGCTCTCTACGTCGATCACGACAGTCCGGAGCAATCCGCGTCGAGCGTCGGGATTAAGACGTCGGGTGTATTGGAGAAAGAGAGAGAAAGAGAGACACTCGTCGTCATATTCGCGACGAAAGAATTGACGCAACGAATCAAGCACGGAGCATCCCCAATGACATCGCCGAGAACGACCAGTCGTTCATGCGATTAGTCAAGAGCGAGTGCGGGAAGGGAGACCGAACGTGCAGCAAGATCGGGCGATGAGAATCTCTCCCCGAACGGTCGAGGAGTCCCGGAATCGTCGCCTCACGCAGCCCCGGGCGCCGAGGAGGTCGCGACGTCGTTGAAGGCCATCATAGCCGCCGGAGGAACGTCGCGTTCACGAGACAGAGGCACTCGAGATACTCGAGGATGTCGCTGCACTATCCTCAGGGGTATCGGTACCGATCCGCATCAAAGGCGATCAGCGGGACCGGAGTCGGCGAGCAAGGCTCCGATAGCGACGTAGCGGAGCTCAGCGACCTCGAGGACGATGAGGACGAGGATGAGGCTCGTGAATCTGCCGATAAGCGAGCGATCGAGGGAGAAGACGAAGACGAGGATGAGAACGGTGAGAATGACGTGGATGACGAGGATGACGACGATGATGACGACGACGATGATGAGGATGACGACGATGAGGATGAGGAGGAGGAGGGCGAGGGTCTACCCTATCCAGGCTTCATTCCGATCGCTCTCAGATATCTCGACCAGACCACACGACCGCGCAACTGGTGTCTCGCGCTGATTACTAATCCATATCCTTTTGGTACTTCTCGACTCGGTATGGTAAACTCTGCTTTGTAGCACATACGTCGACCTACATGCACGTACATTGCGCTCCAATCAGCGTAAAAATCTAAAATGCTTCCAGAAGTAATTTATTTAAAAGAAATTTTTAAGTACAATTAGCAAATTGCTTTCGGAACGTGTTTTGAGCATTTCGAGACAGTCTAAGAAGTTAGAATTCACTTTTCAAATTTTTGAAGAATAAATTTTAAAAATTAGATTATTATTCTCACATGATATTAAAAGAATTCTTAGTAAACGAGAATATCTTTTATACATTTTCACGACATTTCTTAATAATGAGGAAATTTTTTTACACGTTTTTTTATCGTTCATATTGTCAGCGATATGACTTATAGATAAATTTTCCTCCAAAACGGAATTAGTAGAAGCGATTATTGGATATCGAGTTTCTACGGTAGCTTTTGTGAGGGAAGCATCCTTGTGTACATTTTACGAATACAGATTTGCTTTTCATGGTCGTGGTAAGCTGATGCAAACTGTTCCAGTCGATCTTCATTAGGAATTTATTTCATCTCTCTGACTACACAAGGTTGCGCGTGCGTCAGCATTCGCCGTAGCTATCAGGATTTGTTGATTTTCCTAAGTCGTCTTGCAATGTGCAGCGTATTATCAAATAAGTTTAGATAGAAGGCAATATCGAGGTAACATTGTTTATCCAGCTGAACAAATGATCAACGGCAACGAGATTTTTACATATTCACACTTGCACAGAATGTGTGATGAATTCAAATTCGATCTCAATAAATCCACATTATAATATACATATGTTAATGGATTAACACCTAATAACGTTAATACTATTTCACATTAGTATCTTTATCTTTACAGATAAAGAGAATAAAAACATGTTAAATTAGAACAAAAATTAATTATGTCCTTTTTCCTTTTTACATTCAATTAAAAGTTTATGATGCTGTTTAAATTTAACTTGCTAATAATCAAGGATTATGTACTAACATAAAATTTCTAACTGAATTTTATCTTTGAAATCAAATTAGCATAATTAGAAAAGATGTATTTATTTTACGGGAAAAATTGGGGTAAGGAAAATATTGTCCTTCTTGAAAGGTATATAAATTTCTCAGAATACTTAATGCATAAAAATTCGAAGATTTGATCGATATTAAAGATTAATAAGAGATGATTAACCATCCCTTATACGTCTATATATGTACGACGTTTCTGAATATAAAATTCTTCAAAGATACGCTTGATCGCTCTGTTTTCGCGCTACGTCTTTAACTTATGGAACTTCTCACGTCCTACAAACGTGCAACACTTTCACCTCATTTGTTGAATGCAGGATCTCTGCCACTGGGCGAGTATTTGTCGTCACGAGTAGCCCCGATGTGGCAAACGCGGTGGCGGGTGTCGAGGGAGACCAGTCTGAAGACACCTTAAATAGGTCATTGATTGACCTATCCCCAGGCGAATCCTACTGCGCGCGTAGCCGCTTTCCACAGTGGCACAGTTCTCTCCTATCTCGTTCCTCTCACAGCAGCGGAGGTGGCGGTGGCGGTCTCCTTCTCGTCGCGCATTTTCCTCACCCTCTCGCGGCGTCAGATCCCTCCTTCGATTCGCAGCACGTATACGGTTGCAGCGCCTATATCCGTTTGTGTGGGAAATTATTGGGGGGAGGGACGTGCATTGCACGTGGTGAGGTAGCTGCAGTGACGACGGCGGCGACGTCCGGGCAAAGTTTAGTCAGACCGACCATCGAAGCAACAAGCGCCGAGGCAAGCGCGCCGCGTCAGAAAGATCTCCATTGTGCGCGTGAGGACAATGGGCGCAGGTTGGAGCACGTCGTAGCACCAAATGCCAATGCGGACCTCGAGCCTCTTTCACGTTGCCACTGCGAAACTGTCGTTCGCCGCTCTTTCAGCTAGTTGAAAGTTCTAGTTGGGAGCCCCAGATACCGCACCATCCGAAATCCTTGATCTCCCTAGTGGAGACGACCCTCGAATATACTGAGATAACCCTCAATTTAATAATCGAAGTCTCACATAAAAAAAAATTTATTAAATTCCTATTCCTATGTATTGCACAGTAAGCGTTCGCTCTTTTGAGGGACCAAATTGCAAAGATGCTTATGTCGGGACGAAAATATATGTTCAATACGAAAACAATAGCGGAACAACGCTATTACACTAGCTAGGGTACTTGAATTGCGATATTATCACACAACTAATTCACATTACACGGAGAAGACTGAAGGGTTGCAATTTTGAGGTACATTTCGCACAAGAGTGTGTATGTATGTCAAAGCAACGGAGACCTTGACCCATCGATGTTTAATCCCAGCAGAAGGGCTGAAACCAAGGGCGGGCCAGAGAATGTCAAACTGCATCTTTCCTTGAACTACTTGCTAAAATTGTGGTTTTTAATGTATAATTAGTTTATAACAGATTTTATTCTATGAACAATTTAACTTTATTACGTAAATTAATACGACCTTTAATTTAATATTAATTTTGACATTAAAATTGTGATAGTGCATTTATTTAATATTTATACTTTATACAAAATTTACTGGCATCTTGGACGCTTTTAGTTCGACCTGAATAAATCAGTATAATACATTATATTATAATATAACATAGTATTTTTTTGCATTGGTATCTTCATATATAGATAAGGAGAATTATATAAAATTGCAAAAAGACGAAATAAAGGAAAAATCAATTATGCACATCTTCTGATGTTCGATTAAATTATTGGTGATTTTTTAACTTGCTATAGTAATTAAAAACTGCTTCTAAATTAAATACTAGATTTTATCTCCTAGAATTAAATGAAAGAAGAACATTCTTACTTTACAAAAAAAAATTAAAATATAAAGCTTTTCATCTTTTCAGAACTAATTATAATAGCTAAAAAAAATCGAAGATTTGATGCATTTAGTTCGATTTCAATAAATTAGTCATAGAATATACATTTGTTATCTACTATATTCTTTCGCGTCGATATTTTTATATATAGCCAAGAAGAGTCATATAAAATTACAAAAAGATAAAGTAAATTAAAAACCAATTATGAATTCCTTCGATTAAATGTTAACGGTGATTTTTTAACTTGCTATAATAATAAAAAATTATTTCTAAATTTAACTAGATTTCATTTCCATAATTGAACAAAAGAATTACGAGAAAAATGGGATAAAAAATGAAATAAAAAACTTTTTGTTTTTTTTTTTAACCAATTATGTTAGTTATTGCCAAACAAATTTCAAAGATTTAACCGTTCATCAATTTTCTAAAAAAACAACTTTAATTTCACACATGCGTAAAAATAATTAATCTACTTTTATAACCCATTGCACATTTAAGAAGTTTATTTTACTTTGCTTATAAGTTGAGGGTTAAGCGGCTCGGATCAATAAAAAGGCGCCGCAATTCTTTTAATTTAGCGAAACCTAGAATCCGCAGGAATTGTTTCCGGATTTTCTGTTTAGAGACTAAGTGAGAAATTACATATACACAGATTATGTGAAATGCTTACCGTTAACAGACTAAGCGGATGTCTCTCTTTATTCCAGTTTAATAGTTTATTTCATTATCTTAAGTACCTTAAAACGGCCGAACAGTTATTTACGGTTTAATCTGATTACAGATATCCTCTGCATTTAATTAATCCGTTTAATTAATTCTAATGCTTATTTACGTAGATAGGTTGTTTCGTTTCAAGTCTTAAAGCAATTAGTTTCCTTTCAAGTCTTAAAGTTAATTGAAGTTTTACTTATAAGTACAGAGATTATACACAAAGGATGAAGCATCGAATTATCTTTCATTTTTGAAAAATTAAATATAAAATCGTTCTTTCTTTTCTTTTTATAATTATAAAATATTTTACATAATTATAGAATAATATTCTAAATATCTTATTTTCTATCATATTTTACGTAATTATAGAATAATATTCTAAATATTTTATTTTCTATCATATTTTATTCCTTTTAAGATTTCTATAAATGCGCAATTCTTTAGAATTAGCAAAACATTCTATATGATATGAAAGAAGGGGAGCACCCATACAGGCTGACGTTGCGAGTTTTAACTACTTATCTTGTCCGACACATGATTGCACTACTCTACTGCGTTACTTGAATTGCATTCAAACTACTGATTCTCACAAACAAATCGAATGAACTACCTCTACTGCATTCATATTATTTTTTGTTTTTATTTCATTTCCATTAAAGCTACAATAGATCAAACAATGCAATTATTTGCCAAATATTCAATAAATAGCAAATATGCTGTTTTTTAATAAATTGGAGAGAGAGAGAGAGAGAGAGAGAGAGAGAGAAAGAGAGACCAACGTAATCAATTTATTATTTAAATACGACTCTTGGAATCACCGAATCTACTAGGGACTTAAATAAGTATTGAAATATTTATAGAAAGGGACCGTCTTCCGCAGATGCACGTTGGGAAAAAGATATTGGATATTAGAAATGTATTAAATTTGTCGCTCTAAAAAGATAGAAACCTGAAAAATGTAATGGGAAGAGGATACGTAATATCGTGCAATATTTGCAGCACGTATTTCGCTACGGTGAACGTAATACTACTGTAAGTAGGTGTTAACTTTACGTGGTA